AATAATAATAATAATAATAATAATAATAATAATAATAATAATAATAATAATAATAATGGAGGACACTGAATGACTGGAGAGAGAACTCAACATTTAAAACATTTGCTGTTCTTGTAGAAGACCCAACTTCAATTCTCAGCACCCACAACTTTAACTCCAGTCTCAAGGGATCTGTCACCCTCCGACATCCATGCAGAAAAAACACCCATTCACAATTTTTTTTTTTTTTTAAACAGAAGGGGTTTGAGAGATGGCTCAGCAGTTAAGAGCACTGGGGTTCAGTTCCCAGCACGTGAGCACTCCCAGGCCAATTATATGGGAAATTTGTTGAGGTCTTATAAAGCCCTCCCACTTATTCTTGCATCCTGATGCAATGCAGATAGGCCACGCAACGATACTGTGGCCATGAAGAGATAAGGGTAAGATTAAAAAAAAACACAACGATTTTAAAAATAAAAAAACAACACACAAACACAAAAAGAAAAAGCATCCTTTAGCTAGCCGTGATGGTTCAAGCTGGCAATTCTAGTCCTTGGGAGGCTGAGGCAGGAGGACTCCTGCTGAGGCAATCTGGGCTACATTATGAGTTCTAGGTAAGTCAAGGCTACAAAAGGCTACACACACTCGTCTTTAATCCCAGCACTTGGGAGGCAGAAACAGGCAGATTTCTGAGTTCAGGGCCAGCCTAATCTACATAGTGAGTTCCAGGACAGCCAGAGCAACTTAGATGTAGCAAGGGGCAGAGCACTTGCCTACCATGTGCAAGGCCCTGGGTTCAACTGCATAAAGTAAATAAATATAATAGGTAGGTACTGGCTATGATCATTCTGCACTTGTAAGCACCCACAGTAGTAAAATGATACAGTCCACAGACTCTGCAGGTACGGTAAACACATCTTGGGCACCCAGCACTGGGGCCTCCTCCCACCCCTGCCCACTAGTCTGGGCCCTAGGCAGCCACTGTGCCCACCTGTCAAACTCCACGGAATAGATGAGGATGAGGTAGCGCTTGGAGTTGAGTTGTGCCGACCTAGGGGCAGAGGCACCCAGGCGGACCCCCAGCTTGCGGCTCCGCAGGGACTCCAGGTCTGTGTAGGTGAGCAGGTCCAGGGTGACAGACTCACTGCTCTGTGGGAGAGGAGGAGGGGGGCTGCCAAGGACATTCACAGTCACCCGCCCATCCATGTGCCAGGTCTCAGGGGCCCTGAGCTTCCCAACAAGAAAGCTGGCGGGCATGACACTGACCCATGACATGCAAAGGCATGATTGGAGGAACACACTGAAGAGAACCTAAGAACCAAAGCACCTTACAGCAGGGTTACGAGGCCAAACCATCTTCCTATGGGAAACAACACATGCCCATTCCACTGCACAGAAAGCCACACGAATGAGGCCAAAGTACTGGTGAGTGAAAACAGCTGATCCCCTTGGTAGAAATTTAGCCAGTGGCTTGGCATCATGACCCATGCCTGTCATCCCAGCACTGAGGCTCAGGAGTTCAAGGTTATCCTCAGCCACAAAGCAAATTCAAGGCCAGCCTGGGCTATGTGAGACGAAAGGAAAAGAAAAGACATGATAGAAAAATGAAAAGAAAAACAAGAGGAAGAGGAAAGAAACATGGAGTGAAGGAATTAGGAAAGAAGGAATCAAGCCAGGGCAGCAAAACATGAAATGGGCTGCCATTTCATGAAATGGCATGAAACATTTGGGTTTTCTGAGCAACTCATGAGCAGGAGCTTCCTATATGGGCAAAGCATAGCATCATGGAGTAGTGCGGGCTACCCATCCATGGAAAACGTAAGATGCATCCGTGGGGTTTGGGGGTTTGGGGGTTGAGGTATTTTCTAGTTTGGGAATATAGAGTCACATTAACCCAGGCTGGCCTCGAACTCACCATGTAGCCAAGGATGGCCTTCTTCTGATCCTCCTGCCTTTACCTCCCCCGTGCTGAGATGACAGGCATTCACTAGAAACTGCCTGATGAGGTAGCAGATTCCCCCTGGCACCTAGCCTTCTAGAAGCTATACCTGTCTAGACTTAGTGTGCTAGCACAAAAGAGCACTCAACTATCTGAAAAAAAAAAAAAAAATGCTACTCAGGAGACTGGAGAGATGATGGCACAACAGTCAGGAGTTGTGCTGTGCTTCTGGAGGACCTGAGTTTGATCCCCAGCACCCACATCAGGTGGTTCACTGCCTGTTACAGACTATCGCGAGCACCCTTTATGGGTGCTGGGAACCTTTTATAAGAGCAGGAAGCCCTTGTCACCATTGAGACATCTCTCCAAACGCTGGGACTGGGGCTCGCTTGGTAGCATGCTTGCCCAGCATTCACGGAGCCCAGGGTCCCATCCTACCACCACATAAGCCACCAGCACTACATAAGCAAGGCCGCAAAAATGCTGTCTGGTGCCGGACGACAGAAACGAGGATAAGGAGTTCAGGGTCATCCCTGGCTACAGAGTGAGCTCAGGGGTCTCCAGGGCAGCCTGGCCTGCATGAGGCAGTGTCTTAAAAAAGTGGGTAGGTGGGGCGGAATTATTTAGAAAAATGTATGAACTACATGTAATTATACATCTGCAAAAAGCAAACAGTACTTCTAATAAAAAAATGTATCATATATTTTATTTAATAGTATTAGTGTGTGTGTGTGCCGCGCATGCGTGTGTGCTTGCATTCTCGTGCCACGTGTGGAGGTCTGAGAACAGCTCTGAGGATTCTGTTCTGTTCCTCCACCAGGTGGGATCTGGGGCTGGAACTCGGGTCATGAAGCTGGCCAGGCAAGCGTCTTTACCTGCTGGCCAGCTCACCATTATTACACACTAACACCTTAAAAAGAATAGTAACAGTGCAGTGGCTTTTCCTCTCCTCTCCACATTTCCGTGTGACCTCAATCTACATTTTTTTTTTTTTTTTTTTGTTTTTTATTTTTTTTTTCTTTTAATTTTGTGTGTGTTGGGGGGGGGGGTATGTATGTATCCGTGCAAATGCCCTCAGAGGTCGTGAGAACCACTAGAGATGAAGTTCCAGGCTGTTGGGAGCTGCCTGAGGTGTATGCTGGGAACAAAACTCAGGTCCTTTGGAAGAGCAGCAAGTGCTCTTAATCAGCAAGCCATCTCTCCAGCACCCCTCAACACTACTCATTTTGTTTTTGACACAGGGTCTCTTGCATTACAAGCCAGCCTAGATCTTACTATGTGGCCAAAGAAAACCTTGAACCTGTCATCCTCCAACCATCACTATTTAGGTACTGGGATTCTAGGCACATGCCAGATCATGGGGTGTGGTGACACAGCTGAGGGCTTTGCGCATGCTAAGACAGCACTCTACCATGGAGCCACGTTCTGATTTTCGGGGTTTTGGTTTTTTGTTTTTTCAAGACAGGGTTTGTCTGTGTAGTCCTGGCTCTTCTGAAACTCTCTTTGTAGACCAGGCTGGCCTCGGCCTCCAGAGTGCTGGGTTTAAGGACTTGTACCACCACACCCGGCTCTGGTTTTTGTGTTTTGTTTTTTTGTGGGGTTTTTTGGTTGGTTGTTTGGTTGGTTTTTGTTTGGTTGTTTGGCTGGTTTTGGTGACAGCAACTGTCACCCACTGGCATGTACAGAAAAAGCTCTGAAGGCCGAGCACCCTGCATTCGTCAGGTAGCCATCCACAGCACCTCCAGGTCCCTGAAGCTGGCCCCTACCTGGGTGAGTGCCGACTCCAGCATGTTACAGAAGATGCTGAACTGTTTGAAGTTCCCCGTCTTGTGAGTCAAGTCTTCAATGACTGGGTGGGAAGAAAAGTTCCTCCTGAGATCTGACCACCCCAGCTCTAGTTCTCCGGCTCTGCCCAGGCCCCATTGCCTCTGGGCAGATCAGCAGGGCCCACACCCACACACCACCTTGGAGAGCTTCAGGAGGACAACTGAGCTGAGCCTCAGCTTTGGGAGGAGGCTGACCTCAGAGGACAGGGAGGGGCACCCACCGAAGCAGGCATACTACACTCACAGCTGGCATCAAACTCTCCTCGCCACTGGTCGGCTGTCATCCGGTCCTCCACCTCCAGCTCCAGAACCTGCCCTGACACTACCACACGCACAGCATGCTCCACACCCCGGAACATGTAGTCCACCTGCAGGCCAGCCGGCTGGTCCATGGCCAGAGTCCCTGAAGAGGAGGACAAGACAGAGACCTAGAGAGGCATGCCTCGTGTCTGCAGAGGCCAAAAGACAGGTCCCCTGGAACTGGAATTACAGACGATTGTGCGCTGCCATGTGGTGCTAAGAACTGAACCTGGGGCCATCTCTCGAGCCCCTCAAACTGGATCTTTTCCAGACTGGATTTCACTCTGGCTAGGAACTTATGATTCTCCTCCCTCAGCCTCCCACCTGCTGGGATTGCCACACCCAGTACAGCTCTTTATGCTTTTTATGCTGTTACCCAGTTTAATCCTCGTAACAGCCCTGAGGAAGACATCAGTGCTTCAACTCATCTTTCAGAGGAGGAATGAGGCACAGAGCAGTGAAATCATTCTCCTGGGATGAATGGTAGAGCCAGGAACTGACTCAGCTCGGCATGGCAGAGCACACCAGTTATCCCAGCACTCAGATGGAGGCAGATAATGTTGCCAAAAGTTAGAGGCTAGCCTGGGCTGGATAACAAGACCCCCCAACTTTAGGTTTTTGATGGTGGTGGTGGTGGTTTGGATTTTCTTTTTCTTCTTCTTCTTTTGGTTTTTCAAGTCACAGTTTCTCTGTACAGCCTTGGGTGTCCTGGACTCTTTGTGGACCAGGCTGGACTCGAACTCGTGGAGATTTGCCTGCCTCTGCCTCCCAGAATGCTGGGATTCCAGGCATGAGCCACTGTGCGGGCTGATGGTTTGGGTTTTAGTGTTGTTGTTTGGCTTGGTTTTAGGACAGCTTTTGGGAGCACACGCGCAGCCTCTGCTACTTGGAACTCAGGTTTCTGAACTTTTTTATGGAGGGTTCCATAACATCTGGAAGCCCCTAACAATTATGCTCCTGCTTTCTAGAAACTCTGAAGTCTGGAGTATTAAACTCTGGTGGCACTGCCCTTTCTAACCTGACTCAATCCCAATCCAATGTTGAGGAATCACCCACAGATCCGCCCCTCAGCTCCACGGAACAATCAGCTGCTGCACCCTGTATCTGGGCCACCAAAGCAGAGGGCAGCAAGGTTTTAGGGCACCAGAGGTAGCACACCTGGGGAGCTGTGCTCCACGCATGCCTCCCTCCTCCTCACTGCAAATTCACCTTGTCCTTCGCCCTGTACCACCTGGGCCCCACAGCCCCAACCAGCACCTAGGTTCCAGACAGTCACTCTCTAAATAACAGGCCTAAATTCCATTCTCCCCTAATACACATCTCTCTCCCACCACTTATTGGAAGCCTAGAAACTGTCCCATAACTATTTCCAGACAAGAACTCCACCAACCATCTGCTTTGGCCAGCTCCATCCCTAGCCCAGCTCCCCTCGCTCACTGCTCTCCAGTCTCAGGCCCCTCTCCACTGTGCAGACCTCCACTTCTCTGCAGCTTTGTGCTGCCTGGGCAAGGGGGAAACCACGGCCCTCTCTGCAGAGACCCCTATTTCATCCTATCCTCACAGCTTGAGCCATAAAGTACCAGCACATTGCTTCTCCCTACATCATCCCCCACCTCCATTCCCCTAAGACTATAGCCCCGGAATGTTCTACCTGAATTGTCACGCCCCCTTTTATTCTGCTTCGGTTCTACCCATGCGTTCAAAGTTCTAGCCCACGCATACCCCACTTTCTGCCTTTCCATCCTGCCCATATTTCACCTAAATTCTGCCAAACTGTCCCTAACGCCCCCTCCCCACCCACAGGCAAATTTCCCACCTCTCTTCCCACCTTTGGGGCTATCCAGGCCCAATCCCTCTCACTCCCTCGGGCTCCCTCCCTCTACCTGTTCACACCACCCTTGCTAAAGGGCCCTACAGGCAGTTTATCCTGTTGCAGGCAGTTCATCCTGGTCCACTGACTTCAAGCCTGTCCCAAGTCTCTCCTAGCTCCTCTTCAACTAGCCTCCTGGCTAGCATTCCAGTGGCAAGGATGAGGCACTGCCCTCACCAGCCCCTGACATCACATCCCAACTCTACACGCAGCAGGGGCACCCCAAGACCACTCTCCCTCAGCCTCAAGGCACTGAGGTTGCCCTCACACAAGCTAACTCAGTCACCCAGCCTCCAACCCTCTCGCCATCTTCCACTAAGGGAGTCTCAATCTCTTTCCCAGGGCAACGTCATTGTCCGTGGCTCCTCCTACCAAACTGTGCTCCAAAATTTCAGTCTTTACCCCAGTGTAGAAAAAAGAACACCCCAAACTGGGCTCACCAAAGAACCATCCACACAACCATACCCCATCATTACCATGAGCAAACCATGGTCCCCAGCTCACCCTAGGCTGTTGGCCCACCAACTACCTCTAGCCTGACTGCAGGAATGTCACACACTATGACATAAGCCTGACCTCCACCAGACTCTGAGTTGGCCTCCTCAACCCTGGAAAAATACGAGCTGGCTTGAGCTCCCTTCTTCTGTTCAGGTGACACTGTTCTTCCCCAACACATACTAAAGCCTTCCACTGACCCCCAGAAGTATATGACAACAAAAGCCCTTTAGACCACTGAACATGGTTTCTCTGCCTTCTGCTAAACAAGTATAGGACACCCCACACTATATACCATTACACTGTACCTGCAGCTCCCCAGCACGCCCAGGGCATCCCCAAAACACACTTAACAACTCAATGTCTCATCCTAATCCTGCTCTCTGATAGGCATTACAATCATCTCCCCATTTTATAGACCATGAAACTGAGGCTCCTACAGCTAGGAAGAGTGGACATCTCCTACTCAATTTCCAGCTTCCCAACACATCCCTTCCCTGCCAGCATTCTACAGCATTGACTCAAGTGTGGCTCACCCATTACAATCAGGCCTGCAGGCTGGGAAATCACAGGTTCAGATCAACACTCTTCAGTCCCCAGTGTGCCAAGGGTAAGGCACTTGCTATGTCTTGGGATTCTTCTGTCTTACTAACGTCCAGATAAAACCAGGCCTAGAGTCAAAGGCCTGTTAGCAACAGGCTGGTGCAGAGAATCACAGTCTAAGACCAGTCTGGGAACAGGGAGGTCAAGGTCACTCTGGCTAACTTAGTGAGACCCAGTCTCAAGGAGGGTTATAGATGTAGCTTAGCTGTAGAGGGCTAACCCAGCATGTATGAGGCCTTGGGTTCAGTCCCAGTAACTGCATGTACCATATATACATACATAAAACTTTATATATACATAAAATATGTGTATATATACATATACATAGATAACACTGGGGACAAGAGCACTGACCTCATAAACTGTCACGAGGACTGAGTTAGTCAATGCATAAGGTGCCTGGCACTTCCCCTTACCACCCACTCTTAGCTGACAGCCCAGAGACGACTTGACCATTATCCCAAAAGTCTGCAAGCATGAGTCAGCAAAGACAGCTAGCTTGCCTAGAATCCACAAGAGGTTGGGGCTATGACTCAGTCACACAGCACTTGCCCATCTTGTACAAGACTCCATGTTCAATTCCCGTGCAATACCAACAAGTAAAAACAGACTTTTCTAGTTGTCGTCCCTTCTGTGCCTTGGCCTAGCATAGATCTGCTTACCAATTTAACAGGGGATGCCAAGGATCATCCAAGGTCATTCCTGTCCATCTCCAGTCTCGGCTCCAAGACGCCTGGGGGCACCACAGTGTGTCTAGTTTATTACTGCACCTGACTCCACTGCCAGGAGGGCTCTCCACTGCCAGAAAGGAGCCCTCCCAGCTCACTATTCCATCGGCCACCATGGGGAGACCAGAGGAAGGGTACTTAACTCTAGCACGGTAACTTCCTACACCTGTGTACTTCAGGACTGTTCTTCAACAGTCGTGTGCAAATCTGAGAAACACAAAGGATATAAACAAAGGATCTACTGGATGGTAGAGACAAAGAAACCAGGTGACTAGCCACAGTCAGCAAGGGCTCTTGAAGCCCCTACCTGGACTGAGACTGAAGGAAAGAGTGTCCTCCACTCAGACATTTGGGGGAAGCCAATCTAGATGGAAGGGGAGACAGCAATATGAAGCATGTATTTGCCATGTCCAGAGGACACCAAGACCTTCATGGCCCCAGTAGTGCAAGCAAGGCATTTCCAAAGGTATGGGATTGTGGAAAGGGAGGAAGACGGAGTTCAGGACTAGCAGAACATCCTGTAAGGGGGTGGGGACTATGGAAGAGTGAGCAGGAATCAGGAGGAGTTAATAGAGCAACAACACAATTTGACTTTTTGTTTGCTTGCAAAGAGGTCTCATGTTACCCAGGCTCGACTTGAACTCTTGATCCTCCTGCCTCCACCACCTAAATTCTGGGATTACAGGTGCTCATCACCACATCTGGCTCACACAGAGAAGGGGATCAAGCCCTGGGCTTCTTCAGGAAAGCTGAGCAGGCACTCTCACAGCTGAGCAACATCCTTTGCCCTAACTTTTTTGAGACAGGGTCTCATTATGAATATGATTGTATGTGTGTATGTGTGTGTGTACACATTTTGTTAAATGGGAGGGAAAGAAAGGAGTAATGGACTACTAACCCCTAAGTACCTGAAAGGAAGGCCCTGCCAGGCTGAATGGGGACGCCAAAGGATTGTTTGGGGGCAACTGCATGTCAGCTGGACTTCCAAACAACAACCAAAAAGCTGGCCTTTGGAACTCCAGCGCTTTTGTTCAGGGCAGAGATGGGAACTGGAAAGAGACATCTGGGAATCACCACTAAGTAAACAGGGTGAGGGAAGTGGTATAGAAAGAGTGGTTCCACGAAACGTGACATTTGGGCACAAAAGAACTAAACAACTCACCCAAAGCCATAATGAGTTCAGGAGGAAGTCCCAGAAACAGTGCCAGGCCTCAAAACTGAGCAAACAGAAACCTGACCCACACTCTATGTTTGGTTTTGAGACAAGGTCTCCCTGTGTAGCCAAAGCAAGCCTCAGACTCACTCTGTAGCCCAGACTGGCTTCAGCTCCCTTGTGCTGGGATTACAAGTATACACCACTGTTAGGTGTAGCTGGTCTTTGCTACTTTTGGGTTCTTCTTGTTCCCACCCTTTATCCTTTGGGTTTTACCCCCTAACACTAGATAGGAGAGCAACAAGGATAGAAGGGAGATAGGAATTAGGAAAATCCCTGAATCTAACTTCTTTCCTTTTGTTTCTTCTTTGACCATTGCTACTAACAAACCACAAACAACTTCCTTAAAGGACCAACAACCATCCAACCCACCTATTGGGGCTCTGAGAAGTTCCCAGAACATCACACAATCTGCAGATAGCAAAACCATGCCTCGTTTTGGTTTGGTTTTTTGACACAGGATTTCTCTGTGTAGCTTTGGCTGTCCTGGACTCTGTAGACCAGGCTGGCCTGGAACTCACAGAGATATGCCTGCCTCTGCCTCCCTGAGTGCTGGGAATAAAGGCATGCTGGTTTTTGTTTGTTTGTTTTTTTGTTTGTTTGTTTTTAAAGAAACCAAAATTCCAGAATTCTCAGGACAGTAAGGCTTGTTAATATGTTTCATAGCTCATTCAGAGGGGCTGTCCAGATGACTCAATGGGGAAAGTTCCTCTTGTGCAAACCCTGAAGGCCTGAGTTTGACCCGTAGAACCCACATAAAGGTGGAAGGAGAGAACCAGCTCCACAATGTTGTCCTCTGACCTCCACACCCCTCCTGTAATATGAACCCCCCCAACACACACTTGCGCGGACACACAATAATGTCTCTGCGTTAGAGGCCTGCCTGCTCTATACATTGTGTTTCAGGCCATCCAGGGCTACTTAGTGAGACCGGGTCTCAAAAACAAAACAAAAAGTTCATTCCTGGGCTCAGCAGAAGTAGAACTCTTGACTAACATGCCCAAGGCTGAGTTTGATATCTAGCACCGCAAAAAATCGGAGAGAGTTAAAAGTGACTTCATATAAAATAATCTGCTCAGAGCGTGCACACAGAAAACGCCACTTGTCCGTAGGGCAGGCACACCCTCAATCCCCACCCTCCAAGACGACTCAAGTTCAGAAACCACGGCATCGCGGGGAAACGCCCTCTCCCACCTCGTGCGGTGCAAGACATGCAAAACAATGCTCCACCTCACAAGCTGCCGTGCAGTATTCGACAAGGGACCTCTAGGTTCTAACCGTGTACCTCGCGAGCGACAACATGGCGCGTTAAAGACCCTGTGAAATCTCCAGCCTGCAGAGGGCCTAGCGCCCACCTGCGCGAAAGGAACTGGGTTCTGAGGGTCTCCACTGCCCGTGCCTGGAGCCCGCGCCCGGACACATCCCCGCGCACCCGCCACTCACCTTCTCCACGGATTCCCCTCATCTCGAGCCGTTCAACCGCCTTAGTTTTAGCTCCGCCCCAGAGCCGACCTTCTCACTTCTGATTGAGCTACCCTTACGGGCAGCCATGTTTCTATAAGTCAAAAACAACGCCCATCACTTTGTCCCGCCCCCCAAAGAAGAACCCGCCTTCCAGAGCTTGCAATTGGTCTATCCGGAAGAGGGGGTGTCCCCTTTCCAATGATTATTGGCTCATTTTACTGCCAATCATGCAAAAAACCAGGTGGTTCCTGGAGGGGGCGGAGAGAGCGTCACGGAAATAGTATTTTGACTCCGCCTATCGCGGCCCCGCCCCCGTGGCAGGGCAGGCCGCGCCCACAGGGAAGAGAGGGGCGGAACAGTGTGGTACTTGCGCAAAGGAGACCTTCCTGGCCTCCAAATCCGGAAGCTCCAAGGATGTTAGGAAACAGCGAGGCTTCTCAGCTCTCTGTGTATGCCTAAGCCTATCCTGATCGCTTTGCTAGACTTGGCTCTGTTAGTGCATGTGTTTGCTCTCCAACTCCCTATGCATCCTTGAATTCCTGATCCTCCTGCCTCCACTTCCCTCCCCCCAGTACTGGGATTATGGGAGTGTACTACCATGCCCGGCGTGGCATTGGCTTCATTAAAGCTGAAACAACACAGCAAAGTAAGCGTCACTTTTTTCAGTATTTTTGGATTTATTCATTTTATGTGTATGAGTTCTGTGTTTGCATGTTTGTGTGTCTGGACACGAAGAGTGCCTGGTGCTCAGAAGAAGGCATCTGAGCCCCTCCAACTGGAGTTACAGACTGTTGTGAGGCACCATATGGATGCTGGAAAATGAACCCCAGGTTCTCCGGAAGAGCAGCCAGTGCTCTTGGGATTTTTTTCTTTCCTTTCTCCCCACTCTCCTGATGTTGTTTGAGACAGGGTCTCACTCTTTAGCCTTAGCTGGCCTGAATTTCGCTATTTAGATCAGCCTATCCTCGAAATCGTAGAGATCTCTCTCCCCCCCGACCCTGACGCTGACCCCTGAGTGCTGTCATTAAAAGCACATGCCATCACATCAGGCTGGAGTAGTTTTTTTTTTTTTTTTTTTTTTTAAATAGCACTCTTTTAAATTTGTGTGTGTGTGTGTGTGTGTGTGTGTGTGTGTGTGTGTGTGTTGGGGTGCATGTGCCACAACCACTGTGTCTGTAACTCTAGTCCTAACAAGGCAAAGACAGAAGGATAACAGCAGTTCATGGCCAGCCTGCCTAGCCAATCAGTGAGCTCCTGGTTCAATGAGAGATCCTGTTCTCCAATAAGAGTGTAGAGACTCTGAGGAAGACCTTTGGTCTGCATACACACAGACACACATACAATATATACCCATTAACTAGACAAATCCAAAGCAAAACAAAGGAGTTGTACAGTACTTACCAGTGAAGGACTGGGGCCATGGCTCAGTGGTGGAGCCCCTGCCTAGAATCCCCCAGTGAGGGGCTGGGGCATGGCTCAGTGGTGGAGTCCCTGCCTAGAATCCCCCAGTGAGGGGCTGGGGCGTGGCTCAGTGGTAAAGAAAGCTGCAAAGATTCTGACAACAAACCAGATGCCTAGAAAAAAATGGAAAGCAGCCAAGTTGCCTGGAAGAGGTTTAGACTAAAGTCACTTAGAAAGGACACTCTCCAACCTGTTGAGCTGTCTGCAGGCTGTTGTTCAGGGTGCTTCAGAGTCCCATCTTTGACCTGTCACCCACACTGAAGTGGGCTTTGGTGATGTAGCCGTCTTTGAGTCCTTTCTGCACTGTAAGTAACCCCAATAAAAGTCACTGCTCAGCAAATTGGACTTTGGTGGTGTCTGTACTTAGTCGATCAATGGTTTTCTATCTGGGGTGAATAGACGTGTGTTACATCTCCCTAGGAAAAGTTTTCTCACGCATCTCTGCACATGTGCTACACCACACACATACATACATACACACACAAAAATGTTAGAATAATCACATAACCCAGGCTTCTACTACCAGGAATGTGGCAGAAAATTGAAAACAGGTAGACAAATACAGATACATGAGTGTTCACAGCAGCATTATTCATTGCAGCCACAATATGTAACGAACCCAAAAGCCCATCGAAGGATGAACAGGTGACCAAAATGTGATATATCTTAGTCAGGCGGTGGTGGCACACACCTTTAATCCTAGCACTTGGTAGGCAGAGGCAGGCAGATCTCTGAGTTCTAGGCCAGTCTGGTCTACAGAGTGAGTCTAGGACAGCCAGGGCTACAGAGAAACCCTGTCTTGAAAAACAAAAACAAATAAGCAAACAAACAAAAATATGGTATATCTATACAATAGAATATTATTGGGCCAAAAAAAGGAAGTACGAATAAATGCCTTATACATACCTTAGGATGAATGAACCTTAAAAACATGATGCTATGTGAGGGATGTCACACACAAATAGGTCGCATAGTCCATGACATGAAGTGTCCAGAGCAGGCAATTCCACTGAGGCAGTAGGAAGATTATTGGTGCTGGGTACTACAGGGAGGCAGTGTCAAAAATGCCTCAGAATTAGATGAAAGTAGTGACTGCGCAGTGTTGTAAATGTGTTCCAATGATTCTGGCTCCTACACTTCAAGTTGGTTAATTTTATGTTATGTAAATTTCACCTCAAACAATTTTAAGCAAAGGACTAAGAAATAATTCCAATGAGAAGTGATGGTGGCTTTTCTGGAGGTGGTTGCAGTGGAGGTGGTTAGAATCTGCATATATTCTGAAGGTAGCACTGACAGAATTTGCTGATGGATTGTGTGTTGGAAGGGAGAGAGTGAGAAGAGTCAAAAATGGCTCTGAAAGTTTTTTTGTTTTTTTTTTTTAATCAGGAATGTAGCTGTCAAGATGAAATTTCTATTTAGCGAGATAAGAGAAAGCTGAAGTGTGGGGCAGAACCCAGAGGTCTGGCTATGGAAACATGGGGAGGGCTGAGGCTATCTAGGAGACTTCCACATGGAATCACAGAGAATAAAGTAAGGATTTGAGTTCTGGGATAAGGTCGAGCCTAGAGACGGAGATAATCGAGTATATAGTGGCTAGAATACGAAGATGACAGGTAATAGACTACAGATATTAATATATGACAGATGAGATAGATTGATGATAGAGGATAGCTAAGAGAATGGAGAGATGACATTATAGGTGTTTTGTAGATGATAGACAGTATAGCAGATATAGGAGATAGAGATATATAATTGATAGACGGTAGAATACACAGTTGTTGGGGGTTGGTCTGATAGTGTACTGGCACTGGAGTTACCTGTTACTGGCACTTAAAATCTGGCTACACCTCTCTTTTCTTTGTTTTGTAAACCTGCCTAAGATATATCTGATTGGTTGATTAAACAGCCTATACGTGGGCAGGGTAGAACGGGGTAGGCGTGGCTAAGGTTCCCGGGCTTTGGGGGTTCAAGACAGGATCATGGGAAACAGACATGAAGAGAGGAAGAAGGAGGAGGCCACATTGGGTTAGTGTGGAGAAAGGACTCCAGTGATGGCGTGGAAAGGCCCAGATGAAGAAAACAAGCAAGTACCACGGGATTATGGGTGAAAGGTAGTCCGATTTAGAAGGATTAAAGTGGACAGCATTGGATGGGGGCTTAGAGATGGATGGTAAGGATACTGAGACAGTGTAAGTGAAATATCTGCCCGGCCCAAAAAAGTAAGGCAATTATAAATCTAACAGGTATCTGTGTCTTATTGTTTGTGATAGTAGGTTAAATAATACCACCATGATCATCTTAGAGCTAATAATAAATAATATATAGCCCAATTATTATTTATTAACAACATACAATAGATAGAGATGGATGAGTAAATAGGTAAGCATGTGGGAGAGAGACTGGAAAGATGGATGGAGAGAATAGAATGGATAGATGGATAGGTGGGTGGGTACATGGAAGGGAAAAAGGATCAGAAGGATGGTGGATGGATAGGTAGATGGATGGATTAGGCGAAACAATATATGATACAAAGATAAGTACTATTGGGAGTGGGGAGAGCCCAGTAGATTAAACGATCGATATACAAGCACAGGAACCAGAGTTGGGCCCCCAGCCAGCACATAAAAGCCCGGCAGGGCAGTAAGCAGTTCCAGCGACAAGGTGGCTAAGACCGGAGGACCCTCAAGGGTTGTCTAGGCAAACTGGCAAGCTCCAGGCTCAGTAAGAGACCCTGCCACAAAAAATAAAATAAAATCAGGCGGGGCAGTCAAGATCACCAACTGCTCTTGCAGAAGACGTGGGTTCAGTGCTCAGCACACACATGGCAGCTCACATCCACCTGTAACCCCAGTTGCAGGGATCTGCCGTCCTCTTCTGGCCTGCACTGAACACGTGCAGTCTACACACATACTTGAAGGCAGAACACCCTTGACATAGAGAATAAAAATAACTTTTTTAAAAAATAAAGTGGAGCATGATAGAGGAAGACAACCAACAAAGACCCAACATATACAAATGTACACAAAAGATAAGACAGATGGACAGACAGATCGATAATAGGACAGATGGATGACAGTGGATAGCTTAGCCAGCTATAGATGGATAAATATGGATACATGGATAGAGTATGTAGTGGCTTGAAGAGGTACGACCCCCATAGACTCATGTGTTTGAATGCTTGGCCCATAGGCAGCAACACTGTTAGGAAGTGTGGCTTTGTTGGATGAAGTGTGTCACTGTGGGGTGGGCCTTGGTGTCTGCTATGCTCAAGCTACACCTAGTGTGACACACCGTCTCTCCCTGCTGCCTGCAGGTCAAGATATAGAACTCTCGGCTCATTCTCCAGAACCAAGTCTGCCAGAATGCCATCGTACTTCTCACCGTGACAATAGTGGACTAAACCTCTGAAACTGTAGGCCGGCCCCAAGTAAATGCCATCCTTTGTGAGAGTGGCCATGGCCATGGTGTCTCTTGGCAGCAATAGAACACTGACTAAGACAGATGATGACAAAGAGACAGAGTCCATCACAAGCAAAAGGAAGGAATAAAGACAGGAAATAGGATGAGCCAAAAGGTACCCAGTGCTGAAAGCCCTCAAGGACAAGGTGGCAACA